TCGATCTTCGCTGCATCGCGGAAAAATCAGAATGCCATCGAATTTGGGTATGTGCTCGTGAGATGACGAGGCCGAACTGACAGCTGTTGCGCAAATCTGTTGCTCCAACTGTTGGTTGGTCGTTTGCTGCTGCCTCACCGAAGCCTTCAGAGCGCACATGTCCACTTCCAATGTGTTGACGCATTCCGAAATGTTGGAGGGGTCAATGTTTGTTGCTGCAACAAGCCGCTGTTCCAAAGTGTATACGAGACTGAGTAATGATTGCATGTGCAGGTCCAATGTGAGGATATCCTCTTGTTGGGCCATGCAGGCAGCCACCAAGTCCACGATCCGTTTGATGACCATGGAGAAGTTGCGTACGGTTGTGAAGGCACCCTCCTCCTTGACCGACGTGTCCCAGTCGGCGGCCAAGGTCAAGACTTCGGCCTCGGATCCTCAAATAATGCATCCTGGCATGCTTGTTGTGCTTCGTCTGGAGCCAGTCGTGTTGCATCGGCGTGCACTTGCTGTTGTAGTTCAGCAAGGCGACGTTTCTCCTCTGCTTCCCTCTCTCTCTTCTCTCGAGCGGCAAGTGCCGCATCTGCTCATGGCTTAAGCTTGAGCGTCATGTCAGCCAGCTGGGCCTCGTAGCCGGCCTCCGACACGTTGTCCTTGTGTTCCATCACGCTGGTCACTGACTGAAGGACTGGAGGCATCTAACGTGGCACGGTTGTCGACTGACGTGGGCTGCTGACGTGGCATGACTGTCGGCTAACGTATCACAGACGCGGCCTGCTAACGTGGCCTACTAATGTGTTGCTGCTGACATGGCCTGGTGACGTGTCACTGCTGACGTGACCTGTAGACGAGGCCTGCAGACGTGGCCTGCTGACATCTCACCATGCTGACGTGGCACTGTACCACTGCGGCCGTAGTAGAGAAGAGAAGGAAGGAGAAGAGGAAGAACAACTGTGTAGGTGGGGTGGGTGGGAGGGGAGAAGATGAGATTCTAATACTTCCCCACCCGCATGGGGTCACATTGATCGGCCAGATAACGAGCCCCTGATCAAATTTGGAAAAGGCCAAACTTTGCTGTTTTAGAAAGAATTTGAGAATAATAATAACAAACTCGAAATTGCACGTTTAGTCGATCTCCCAATCCCCAAAATCCCGAAATTGAAAAAAAAAAAAAAAAAAAGAATTTCAGAATGAAGATATAGTCGATGAAAAATAATTGAACTGCAATTTTCTTTTCCCGCAAGTTCGGGTAATTCTGAAAATAAAATTCGGATTAACTCAGATGAGAGTATTCTCTATTTTGGGAAGTAGAAATCCCGAAACTCAACTGCGAAGAGAGATTTTCCGAGAAAAATAAAATTTCGGAATATTAAAGTAACAAAAAATTCAAACTTCCAAAAAATAAGGGAAATAAAAATTTTAAGCTACTAAGAAGTGCAAGGAACATGAGCAAAAGCGGAAACCCAAGTTGCAAAATCACGCAGAAGTCCAGATAGTCATGTAACAAGCAGAGAGGTCCAATGCACCAAGATTCCATCCAAATAAGAGCGAAACAATGAACTTGTGAGCCAATGCCCAAGCCCTCAGGCCACACCAACGCAGTATTCAATATTGCTCCTACTGGCTGGCGCCCAGCGCCCAGCCTACTCTAGTCATCCTATCTAGCCTATCTACATTCGTGCAACAGGCTCACTTCGACGACGAAGACCAATGTACATGACGTCAACACCGCCATACACCAGGTATGTTATCTCTCCTCTCACATCAACCCTTGACTTCCCCAAGTGTGCATCCCCAACCCCCAAGGACCACCATCGCCATCCAGACCTGCGCCCAGCAGCCCGGCTATGGCTGTCGTGCGCCCACTGCCCAGCAGTGCACCTCACACCCCAGCGCCCGTGCGCGCGACCCAGCCAGCAGCTTCGTGTAGATCACGAAGTTGCAAAGCAGCAGCATGGCCGCATTGCCTACCTAGGCCAGAATGACCTCCCCAGCGATGCTCATGAAATAACCCACGTTGTATGCCTCATGGAAACATGGAAAGTCCAAGGGCCGGCGCGGCAGCCCTCAGTCCAGGCCAAACGGGAAAAAGACCCCCACAAGAGAATTTAGGGCCTGGACGTGAGACAATTGACTTTTCGTCAACTTTCCAGACCTTAGGTCAAAGGTACCCAGTCCTGGCCGTCGGTCAAGCACACACACTTGTTGTATGCAGGTACCCAGACAGCATCAGGTCCAAGGGGGAAATCTGCAACTGTACGATCCAGGCCTATTGCGAGAAGTCAATCTGGACGTCTGAGGGGAAGTGAACCGAGGCCAGAGAATCTCGTCAAACACTACTTGAAGACTGGCCTCGAGGGGCTCAACATTCAGTCTTGCTATGCTGCTCTGACGCTGGCTCGACTTCGACACGACGCTGGCTTCATGCTGGCTGTGCACAAGCGTTGCGGACGACGGCACGAGGTGGAGGCAGCATGCTGGCACTTCCTCAGTGCGCCAGGCTATGCTGACGCGGTGCTGCCTACGGTCTATGTGGCATGCTGATGTGGCACTGCCTCTGGTATACGTAGCGCTGCCTATGGTCTACGTGGCATGCTGATGTGGTGCTGCCTCTGGTATACGTGGCACTGCCCATGGTCTACGTGGCATGCTGATGTGTCGCTGCCTCTGGTATACGTGGCGCTGCCTCAAGTCTACGTGGCATGCTGATGTGGTGCTGCCTCTGGTCTGCGTGGCATGCTGATGTGGCGTTGCTATTGGTCTACATTGATGATGTGGCGATTGCCACCTGTTTCAATAGTAGACGTGGCATTGTCCACGTTGTCTACATGAGGTGACTGGTTGCAAGGAAGGAGGAAGATCGGGATCTGTGGTTGAAGGAGAACGGGTACTCACCTGGGTTGAAGTCAATACAGGAATCTGTAATGTCTTCATGGTCTTCATGAGATTGAGTGCCATGTGGCACTTCCGTGTGTGATCAGGAATATACTTATTATCATTATTGATGTGGAGAGGGAAGAAGCCCAGAGAAGGAGAGGTTCAGAAGGGATTACTGGGCGAATCTTCATCTTCTCCTTTGTCTGTTTTCCCTCCACTCACTTCTATTGAGGACAATGAGATTCTGTTTGAGATATTTCTTCACGAGTTGGAGACTTTTTTGCAAATACTGACTCTACAGGTATTTGACGACTTCTGAGTATCTGTCAGACCGGGTTCATTACACTCACTTTCCTATATGGAGAGTGAGCTCAGCCTCTGTTGCCTCTGGGCCTGGCTGAGTGAGCCTCCAGTAACTTCCAGTCGGGCTCTGGTATCTGCACCCAGGCCCAGTTATAGTTACGGGCCTGGGCCTTTTACAGTTGGGCACAGCCAGGCTCTCCACGGGTGTTGCATACCGTATAGGTGCAGACCAGAACAAGAACCGACCCTTCAATACAAAGTATAAGATAGCACAGCGGAAGACTTAGATACCAATGATCCGAACAATCAATATTGCAATGCAGCCCCGAACATACATCATCATCATCATGGTGTGAAGGGGTCTGGCGCTTCACACAAGAAGACTGCGCCAGCCCCAACCATACACAGACGAAGGAGGTGGGGTTAGACGAAGAAGAAGGGAAGATGGGAATGTCATCAACACCAAGTGTTCAGCACAGGCCCAAATAGTCCCTCGTCAACATGTCAGAATCCCAATGTCGAGTTTGGATCCAATGTCGTCAAGTCTCATGTCACAACTCTCTCTCTCTCTGTAGTAGCCCGCTGATACTGAGAAGTCAGGTGGTGAGAGGGGAAGAAGAGATGGTGGACTTAGAAGAAGAGGAAGAAGAACTCTCTCTCTCTCTCTCTCTCTCTCTCTCTCTCTCTCTCTCTCTCTC